CTCTGGAGGCATTTGTCCATTTCCAGTTAAGTCTCCATTTGTCCCAGTTTGCCCTGTGGATGTGCCTGATTGTGCCCATGTTCCCATGTGTTCACATCCTCCCTTGGGCTTCTCACTGGGCTGTGCACAACATCTTGGCCTTGTCCTGGCTTGAAGGGGAATTCGTCATTGCTCTGGCTTGTCACCACCTTAAAATACGAGGGGGCTGCATGGAATTAGTCCATTATGACATTTAGAGACTTTCAATGTTGAGAGAATGGCAATTGAAATGTCACCTGCTCARGTACCTGAGACTCATATGGATGTCCTGAATCCTTCAGATGCTGTCAGTGCCTGTTCTGACCATGGAAAACACAGCTCAGCCAGATGCAGCTGTAGGTSGTCCTCTGTAATTCCATTGTCTGAGGTGTGAGCAAGGCTGGATTATCAGTGGTGACAGTTCCTGACATGATGATGGAGAGGGGTGGTGCTGTCTTTAGCAGCAGGATGGTGACAGCTCTCCCGTGCTGTTCCTGTGACCTGGGACAAAAAAGGACCACTCAGGCTGTGGCAGGCTCAGAGCAGCTTTAGCACAGCTTCACCATGGCTGTGACCAGMTTCACATGGGAAGCATGAAATGAGTGGGTTAAAGCACCATCTCTGCTGAATTCTGCCGTTTTACTTGGGGGTGCTGCTGTCTGGAGGTCTTTGAGCACCATCTCCAGCCCTGGTGTGCAGATGAGAGTGGTGGAGAAGGTCCAGGACCTACAGTGGAGCTGGGGTTTTTGCTCCACGCACTGTGGTAGGCACCTTCCCGTCCCAACAGGATGCTTCAGCACTCTCARTGCTCCACAGAGTAACTTGTAAGACTTCTGGAAATATGGGAGTAGTAGGAHGGTAAGCTTATTATAAGCATTACCATTTTATTTTAGTGTGAGCAGTAATACTGGCGGCGTGCAGCCACAGCTTGTCATGTAATGGGTTTAATCTTGTTTTTTAAGAACAGAGGGAGCAATGTTTTTCTTACTGACTGGAGCCAAATCTGCACTCTCGTCTGCATCTCTTCATATCTCTCCTGGGGTTTTGTTTGCACAATATTGTAGTGGATGTAGCGAACATATGGGCCTTAAATTCATTTAATAGTTGCAAGAAAATGAGTTTAAGGTTCTTATAGTATTAAGGTAGACATTTCCAAATTCATTTTTAATGGAACATTTGTTCTCCAAAGATTATTACGCGCCATTAAGTCCACTGCTGCCTGGTGTGTTCCCGTGCCTTGGGATGTTACTGCCAAGGGATATAAACATGTTTATGGGCCCAATTTATTGAACGGTGAGATTAAATATATTAAACTTGAAAATGTCAGTAGGAGCATGAGCGCTTTGTCATAAATCCTGAGTGAGAACATTAGGACATAAATGTCGTGCTGCCGCATAAAACCGGTGCAAATCAAGTTGCGAGCAGCTGAAAACTTCTCTCACCAGCACGGCAGTTGCAAACACTGGGATTTATCAGCATTACATACATACATGGGAGCAGGTAGTATATGGGATTTTCCTTTTCTGGGCTGACTAGATGTGCCACATGGGGATCATAAACCAGCAAATTATGTTTTAATGCTTCTGTGTGTGTTTGGTGTGCGTGGGTGTGGGCARAGCTCCCACCCAGCCATAAGTCATTGTCTCACTGCAGGGCAGCACTGGCAGGGAGACCTGGTGCTGCTCATTTGATGTGTGTGTGTATAAAAAAATGGGCAGCATTATCTCTCTATATACATATATCTGTCARCCTAGCAAAAAAGAATTGCTGAATAGGAGAATAAAGAAGCTCTGCAAGATTTATACAGTGAGATAACGACTTAAATACTCTCTCTATATATAAACCTCTATGTACATCTCTGTATGCCAGGGCATAAGTCGTTATCTATATATGGATCTATAATAGGCAGTACCAGACATGCTCATCCCTTTTTGCATTGCTGTCATTACCTTGGTGCACAAGCTTTTCAGAGCTTTTTCCACCCTCGTTTCACAGATTTTTACTTTTTTTATCCCCTGAATTGAGTGATAAAATCAAGCAGCACTGCATAAATCTGGCATTCTGCTGCTTTTATGCCAAAAGCAGTTGGAGTTGCTGCTTTAAAGGACYTGAGTCCAAATCTGAGTTGTCTTTTGGGGCTTCTTATCAACCCATGTATGTGATCTTGTGATGAAGGTGCAAGGGCTTGGCTGCCAGCGTGGTCTGGGCTGCCTGTCCTTCTGCACAGCCAACCTGGATGCAGAGTCATGGAGGGGGAGGAATTTGGGATTTGCCTGGAAGTCCACAGTTCAGTCCCATGTAATGGGAAGTGTTAACAAAACCAGACTTAATTTCTGCTACTCTTGTGATGTGATGGGCGATAGGACCTAATGATCTGAGTCACATCAGTAACCCCAGAATAAACCCCAGTAACAAGCTCACAGCCTTTTCTCCGTAGTTAGAACCAAGTCCTGTGGTTGGCTTGGTTTTTTTGGGTGGGCTGCATCCCCCATGCTGGGCTGGTGGGCCAARCATTTCTGGTAGGAGCAGTCCCAACTCTCACAACTCCATGTGAGATGGTACAAGCACGTGTCTGTGAGCAGCTGGGGAGGGAGCTCTGGTGGTTGTGGTGGGAGGAGGGTGGGGAAGTACCRAATGTGGTTTGCACTTTGGTGTTCCTGATTTAGAGCAGATTTAGCACCGTCTGTGGATGCTCCAGGCACTGTGGGCTCATGGCTGTGTTATCTAGTTTGGAAGTGAAAACTAAAGTCTATATATAGCAGGTCTTGATAAGCTTTCCTTAAGTGAGAAGAAGTTTGGTCAAAAATATCTTCATGAAGCTTTATAGTATAGTTCTTTTTATGTAAGCATATATACATATATATGTAAAATAGCTTTGTTCTATATAGAGATACACAGAAGTAAGTATAATATACACACAGTTATACACAAATTCATATAAAAACATACCAGACTGAGTAGATGCTTTATCCATATGTGTGTATATTGTATTGGRTTTGTATGGTCAGGTTTTGGCAGCAGGRGGCTACWGGGATGGGTTTTATGAGAAGCTACCAGAAACTTCACCCATGTCTGAGAGAGCCARTGTCAGCCAGCTCCAGSATGGACCCTCTGCTGTCCAAAGCTGAACCCATCGGGATRGTGGGAGTGCCTCTGGGACAACAGRTTTRAAAAGAGGGGCTGAAAAAAMCTGCTAATTTCAGCCAGTAGAGAGAGGAGTGAGAACATGTGAGAGCAACAGCTCTGTAAGCACCAGGGCCAGTGAAAAAGGAGGGGAGAGAGGAGCCCATGCTGGAGCAGGTTTGTTGACAGGACTGTGGAAGGGAGCAGTACTGGAGCAAGGGAAGAGTGTGAGGATTCTTCCCCCTGAGGAGAAGGGAGCAGCAGAGATAATGTGTGATAGACTGACCACATTTCCCGTGGTAGAAATAGTGATAGATCAGTCTATCAGTGATAGACTGATCTCATTTTCCATCCCCGTGCACTGCTGAAGGGAGGAGAGAGAGAATTCAGGAGTGTAGCTGAGCCTGGGAATAAGGGAGAGGTGGGTGGGAAGTGATTTAGTTTTTATTTCTCATTACCCTATTCTGCTTTGATTAGCAAAAARTCAGACTGATTTCCCCAAGCTGAGTCTGGTTTGCCAGTGATGGTCGCTRGTGAGGGATCTCTCCCTGCCTCTGTCTCAACCCATGAGTCTTTTGTTATATTTTGTGATATTTTCTGTCCCTGCCCAGCTGAGGAGGGCAGGATAGAACRGCTTTGGTGGGCACTTGGTRCWATATTCATATATCTACACATACCTTTATACAATATCTATATAATATGTAGTGAGATACAAAAATGTGTACCATCTATCTGTGTGTACATAGACATGTGCATGGATAAAAAGGATATCTGTATCAAGCTGTGTAGTTTTTATACATTTTTTATTTTGGTATGTATATATTTGGCTATATCAGAGCTGTGAACTGAAGTTCAGTTGGGAGGTTTGATCTAAACTGCATTAGAAACTGGTAAATTTTAGGCCTGCTGGGAWGACCCTGGCTGTGATACTTTTCTATAAGCAGCTGTTTTTGCTGTTGTGCYGGCAGAGGGAAAGAGAAGTGCTCCCTGTACCCGTGGGGGCACCCGGGCTCAGGAGGAGACCCAAGGTGTGGTTATCTCTCTGGAAAAAGTGAGTTTCTYTTTGCAGCACACCAGTGCTGACCCTTCATGTTGCTGTTTGAAACAAGGTGTTGCCCAGCTTGATAAAACAGGGTTAATTAGTTATTTTAGGAGGAGATACGGGTTTGTTTGAAGGTTTAACTCCTGAGCTGTGGTAGACTCAAGGATAAGTGTCCTGTTTGCACTGCTCCCTGACCTACACAGAGAAAACTCTCACTGTCTTGAGCAGGATGTCTCACGGGCTTTTCTGGGGGAAGCTCTGCCTGTTTTCTCTCTGGTTTCTCACCATATCTTGCATTCACCCAGTGCTCACCTGGCGCCCCATGGCTGAGTCATCCCACCGGTCTGCACTGGAAATGGCTCTGAATGCAATCCTGCTGTATGTGCTTGTTATGGAAATACTCCTCTTTATAGAGGTGCTTTGGTGACTCACCTCTTAATCCAGCTCTTTCTCATGGCAGTGGCAGCTGGGCAGACATGTGGGTGAGCTCGTGCTCTTCTTCTCTGTCCTGCAGCCGTGTGGTGCCTGAGTACCCGGGGTCTTCCTGTCCTGAAGAGTGCAGGAAATTTCACAGTTAGTGATTTTAGAATGTGTTGGAGCAACTGATGGGTCTGTCATCCTTTCCGTGCATAGCAGCTGTGGAACATGTTGTGGGTGCTGCTTCTCTGCAGTCTCGACTCATAAAAGGTCTTAAAATAATAATAATAACAAAATCTTAAAGGAGAGCAAAATGTGGCCATTTGGGGATGAGAGCAGCTTTTGTAGAGCTGATGTCTGCAGACCCCCCTGCCTCACCCGTGGCTTCTCTGCCCCGCAGGCATCGACATCCTCAAGCTGGTGGCRGCGCAGGTGGGCAGCCAGTGGAAGGACATCTACCAGTTCCTGTGCAACGCCAGCGAGCGCGAGGTGGCGGCTTTCTCCAACGGCTACGCGGCCGACCACGAGCGCGCCTACGCCGCCCTGCAGCACTGGACCATCCGCGGGCCCGAGGCCAGCCTGGCCCAGCTCATCAGCGCGCTCCGCCAGCACCGCCGCAACGACGTGGTGGAGAAGATCCGCGGCCTCATGGAGGACACCACGCCGGTAAGGCCGGGCTGGTCACTCCTTGTGATGTGGGGGAGTGGGACAGGCTGTGGCTCACTCTCTTCAAGGAGCTCCTCACAGGCTCGTGTTGAAGTGGTGCATTGTTTTTGAGCAAGGCTTTGCCAGAGTTTGCTCAAAGTTTTGATGAGCTCTAGAGTCCCATGTGCTTTGCACATATCTTTAAAGATCACAGGAGGATCTGGTGCCTGAGCCCTCGTGCCAGGGACATGGAGGATAAAGCATCCCCCTTTAAACCTGCCTTCAAATGCCAGGGATTTTGTGAGAAGGGCCAAGTATCCTTSAGCAGTGAACGTTGCTTAATCCAAGATGGTGACTGGTGGCATGGAGGAAGTCATGCATGCAGTCCTCCAGAGTTGTTTTCTGGCATCTCTGGCCTTAAAAAAGACCGTCCCATATTTTGAGAGAATAAACAAATGGCTGCAGAAGGTTCTGCAGTAAGTTTTGGCCAGGTTTAAGTCATGGGGAGGTGCCTCAGTGACCTTTGCAGATTGTTTTGGCCACTGCTTTCAGCTTTTTGGCTCTGATAACTCAGTGGTCTCCTAGAAGTGTTTGTAAAGGTGATGAGAGGGGCTTATTTTGAACGTGGAAGCCAATGGGACAACATGTAGATGGAGGTGGRGGTTGTTCAGCTGCAGCTTTTCTTMCTAAACTGGKTGGTGAAACATTTCTTATTGCCTTAGCAGTGACCAGACCCAAAGKGTCTGGTGGGTGCTTGCAGACCTCTCTGGGCTCTTGGTGGGGACCTGACAAGGTAGATCTTCACTTACAGGAGAGCTTATGAAGCAGTGTTTGTCAGGGCAGGGGATTCCTAAATCCTGCTTTTCACTATCACAAACTTCCCCCTGTGTGAGAGACTGTGATTCCTTCATTGCATCACATAAATTCCTTCGTTTAGTATATTAAATGCCTTGTTTCCTTGTGACCATTGTGAGAAATCAAAGGTTTAGATGCCTTGGCAGGAGCCCTGGGCTTGTGTTTCTGAGAGACACTGGGTCAGGTGTGTGCTGAGCATCACCCTGTGCATCCTGCCCAGATCCTGGATAGTTTGGCTTTGCCAGATGCCTGAGCTCTTCTGCTCCTGCTCAGCTGCTGGTTTTCCCCCTCTAGTTCCCAGTAGCTAAGCAGCCTRTGGCCTTCTCATTGATGGAAAAACTACAATTTAAAACCCAAGACAAAGCTGTGTTTAAGGAGAGAAGGGAGGCAGAGAAAATCTCCATTTTGCACATGTGAATAAAAGTTTCCAGCATGTGCAATATCACAAAAGGATATGTTGTCCTCTTGCCCTCCTGGAGCAGGTAGGAACCTGTGTCCTTGTAGTTACTGCTTTGACTTGGAATACTGTGACAAAGCTCTGGGCAAGGGCACTGGATAAAACACGGGGCTTGTTCCTCAGCATGACACGTAATTAACACACTTGGGCTGTGCAGTGCTGAACGCCCCTGGCTCTTTTGGCCAACACCATCAGGTTGTGCTTTTTAAACAGCACAGAATGCAGGTGAGGACTCCAGGAGCAGGGTTTTTTGGGGTGACCTCTAAGGGTGGAGGACTCCCGAGGTTGGAGTAACCACAAGCTGTGCCCATAACTTTGAAAATACAGTGATGCTCCAGAGAATGAGCAAAGCCAAATATCAAGGAAAACCGTATGCAAGTCTCTTGGACATCCCAACCAGCTTTCCTGTGCCTCTTCGTTTTTTAAAACAGTGTGTTGTCCTCTCCAGTGTCCAGCAGCACMTGGATCCTGGGTGGTTCCCCATCAGTTTCACTTGTTTTTCTAGAAATGAGTAAAATTGGGTTGTTGATCTTTCGAGCAGGTGGCTCGAGTCCACATGAGAAATTTGGCTTATTTCAGCAAAGGCATTGTTTTTTAACAAATTCACCCAAGCTGTCACATGCTCCTTCCCTGTTCACCTTATTGGCTTTTTCAGATGAGCATCCCTCATGCTCAGCCATAGGAGTTGGCCATACCCCTGCCCCGGAGCTCCTGGAGATGCTGGAGCTGTGTGTGGGATGTCTCAGCCCCTCGGGGCGCAGTTTGAGCACGGCAGCACGTTGTGTTTCTGTTTCTGTGAGGTGCTGCCTGCTGTGACCTGTCTGCCTCCTCTCCCTGAGCGCTGCCCATGTGGGTGGTGSTACAATGGCCCTGCAGGGGATGCAGGAAGCAGCTTGTGCACGGGAGACCAAATCCCTGGAAACCTGTGCTGTTGGCTCATCATCATCACAGCAGTCCAGGAAGCCAAGAGCTCAATGCCAGCAGCAGGCATGGAGGTTGATCTTTGGGGTTTTTTAAATGTGCTGGTTGGAAAGCCTTTAATTGGAGCTAATTGAAGTTTGACTCCTGGTGATTTGTCTATTCAAATGTAGACAAATCGAGGCTGTTTCTCTCTGCACCAAAGTGGTTTGATCCAGAGGARCAGATCACCCTGTTGGTGGCAAGAGTGGGTCTGTGCTCTCCAGCCCTGCAGAAGGAGTCTTGTAAAAAAACCCCAAAACCAACAGAAAAGAACAAAAAGAGATTTTTGTTCTCTGGGGGGAGTGAGGACTCTTGTAAGCAATGCAAATGCATGCATCCTTCCTATGGCTAAGCTCCCCTGAGAGGTTGTGGGTGTCCCATTCCTGCAAGTGTTCAAGGCCAGGTTGGACAGGACTTGGAGCAGCCTGGGATAGCAAAAGGTGTCCCTGCCCATGGCAGGGGGTTGGAACAAGATGAGCTTTAAGGTCCCTTCTAACCCAAACCATTCTGTGAGTCCAAATAACAGCACCATGCCCTTAGGGTGACCTGAGCCAGCTGAGAGTCTCCAGTGTGTGCTGGTGTGTCCTGCACGAGCCCAGCAGGGATGGATGCAGGGAGAGTTGTGCTTTGGCTCTGCCCAACATCCCTGGGGGCAAAACAGAGTTTCCCCATCTCCCCCCATGATCCCTATGTTGTAAGAAAGCACCGACACTCCCAAGTCATAGGTAAAAATGATCTTACTAAACAATGTAGTTCTCAGATGGCAAAASAGTACCCTAAACACATCCCATCCTACCCACTGTTGATTCCTTGTCCTAAATCCTTTATCTGATGTCTGCCTTCACCTTGTAAAACSTATGGAGGCAAAGCTGCTCTCTCCCGTAGCGCCCTGTTCCCTTTAGTGCTCTGAAATCCAAATATTTACAACCCCTGATAGGAACAGGGGAATTAATGGGAGTCTCTGGAGCGTTACGGCATGTGGCAGGAGCATTTTCCTTCAGGTGAGGAACAGCTCAGCTGCAGACTTGCCTGCTTTTTTAGCTGTGGGAGATTATGCTGGTTTTGCATGGCGCTGGATGAATTTAGGTTAAACCGAGATTAGCCCTCTGAATCATTTTGCTCGGGGTTTTTTGCTGCTGAGCCAGAAAATACAGCGAGTACAGAAGCTGTGGGAAGGTTTTTTGGGGTGCATTTAACTCACAGGGCACCTGGTAAAGCCTGGCCCTGGCTACGAATGTTTGTTAGAGTCAAGGTTTGCAAAATCTGTCCCCTTACAGGCAGATTTGCTGGGCATGGCAAGCCTGGGCGCTGCTTAGCAGGCACAGGCACATCCCAAATTAGTGGTGCTGACAACAAAAATAGGAGATAGAGGGTGAAGGAAGGGAGAGCTTTCTCCCTCTAACCCCAGCAAACTGCATATTTTTGTTTTTCAGGTTAAAATCAGAAAAGCTCAGTGAATYCACTGGGTAATGAGATTTTTCTTGTGGTGCATAACAGCATTTTGCAGCTACCAAGGGGCTCTGCCTCACCTGGGCTGGCCTGGGGTGGAGCTGGCATGGCTGGGCTGTATTGGCTCCCCTGAGTGCCCTGCTGTGAGCCGTGCTTTAAGCTCTTATTGTTTTATTTATGGCTCTGCTGGCCTCGGCTGAAATATTTCAGGGTCTGGATGGAAGGGAAGCAAACAGCCTCACTCAGGGCGTTCAGCAGCGCAGCCTCAGCAAAGCTGGAAAGTTAAAAAAAAAAACACAAATAAGGGAGATGTTGAAAGTAGAGAGGGGGAGGCTGCAGCCCCAAGCCCAGCAAGGTTCAGTTCTGTGRCTAATTTCATGCTGCAGATAATCCCATGAGTCAGCAGATGTGTGAGGGCTGGGGCTGGTGTGAGGTTAAGCTGTGGGGTTTTGGGGTATTTCAGAGGAGAAGAGGATGTGAAAGCAGCCCCATGTCCCAGCACGTGGCTGTGGCAGTGCCTTGTGGCTCCGTTTCTTGCCCTTCCACAGGTCAAAACCCTGAGAGGGGAAGTCAAAAGCCTTTGAGCATTCCTCAAATCCAGTCTCTGTCAGCTCCCACCCATCCCCTTCATTTCCTCTTCGGCAGTGCAGGACTGGGCTGGGCCCAGTAACTGGGAATTTTGTGCCGTGTTCACATGTCAGTAATGGAGTGAGGGCAAAGCAGGTGGATGGATTTCCCAGCCAGAGGGCTGTGGTCTGAGGGCTGGGAAGTGCCCATGGAGCCAGAAAAGARTAAAATTGCATTCTGGAATTGCATCAGGTTTTATTTGAGGCACAAAGCTGTAGGGTGAAGTGGCCAGAGCCCTGGGGAAGGCGTAGAGCTGGTTGGGTTTTGCTGGAGTGGGCATCGCTCCAGGTTTGCTCTAAGCCATGACTTGATTTTCAAGATTGGGTTTGAACTGTGCTGGGAAATATACAATAAACAAAATGTAATAATTCATAAAGAAATGCAAATAGAAACAACATAAACACAAAAATATAAACTTTATATATGCAGTGATACTTGAGGTTTCCCTCACATCTRGTTTCCCTGGTGGCCACATCTCCTGGGGTCTCTGTGTTTGCAGCATAATGGGTTTGGGAGCATAAGAAGAAACTAGAAGGTGTTTTCTTCTACTAACCAAACACAGTATCAACTAGCTCAGCCTGTAATTGGGCTTGGAAACTCTTCATCAGGGCTTCATCACCTCTTCATTATGGTTTCAGTTGAAAAAGTGTGCAGGCAAATCCATGGAAAGGAAAAGCCACAGGGGCTCTCCTGAAGAGGCAGCATGTCCTGTTTGGAGAAACACTTGGCCCACAGATGGCCAGGACAGGGCAGGTGGGGAAGAGCTGCTTCCTCTGTGGGTGGCTGCAGTTTGGTGGTGGCATCTGAACCCTCCCCAGACCCAGCATTGCCCATCCTGAGCCCTGGGAGGCTTGGCTTGAGTAGCTCTTGCCAGGGCAGCTCAGCTGCGTGTTGAGGGAAGAGGCACCACCACAGAGGTGGWTTGAGCATTCTCCTGAAACCTGATGGGTGAGGTGAAGGGCATGGACAGGAAGTTTGGGCTTTCCCACCCTCCTGTGCTGGCAGAGGACATTGCTCCCGCTCTGCAGCACCACCCACCATCACTGCCCCTCTGACCACCGCGGTGACACCTCATGGCAGTGCCAGCGGTGTTTAACCTGCCAGGCTCTGTCTGCCCTGAAGSTGCATCCCAAACACCCTGGGCACCAGGAAGCAGCTGATCCAGAGGGATCCTCCCTGTGGCTGTGAGGTCCAGAGCGAGAGCATCCCGCACCAGCCCCACTCTGTGCCTGCAGCATCTCCTGTGCCAGGCTGCTGCCCAGCCCCCACTGCCTCCTGTGCGGGGGTTTTTCCTGCCGCATTCCCTACGGAGAGATAACAGCCCTGGGAATAAGGGCTGGTGTCAGCCGGGTGTCATCTTCTGGCAGGGAATCCGGGAAGAGGCTGCCTCCGTGCTAAATTTATCCCCCCCACATCCCAGAGGGGCACAGCCACCCTCAGCAGCAGCCAACCTGCCACCSGCTTTTGTTCCCGCCTGCTTGCGGCAGGAGGAATTGCTGGGAAGCATCGCCGGAGGGAAGGGTGTTTTTTAGTGCCTACTGCTGCTCTTTCCTAATATTAGCACACCAGCTGCAGTTTCTGTTTGTCTGAGCTAAGCTTTTATTGCAGTGCTGTGAAACGGAGGCAGCAAATGGGACCAACCCGTTCAAACAGAGCTGCTGAGAGCAGCTGTGAAAGAAAACAAAGGCGAGCCTATGTCTTCTCCTACTCTCATCCCCTTCTGTCCCCTTCCTTTTAGGAAAGACCTTCAGACACCCTGAGCTGCTTAGAGTACCCTCCCAGATGCATTGGGATCCAAGAGGATGCCAGTGCTTGAACTGCAGTCTAAAGGGCTGCAAGTGCACCAGAGCTCTTACAGTTTTTTTTATTAATTTTTTTTGGCATTGAAAATCTCTTGGTGCAGTGCTCAAAAAAAAAGCAAGCCTAAAAAAAAAMCCTGGCAGAGCACCCCTGATGGGTCGTAGGAGGCTGCTGATGTGACAAAGCCACTGCAGTGCCTTTGGTTCCCGTGCTGGACTGTGCTTCTAACAGTGTCCCACATCTCTCTGTGCAGGTGCAGATGCAGCCCCAGTGGCAAGCGCCGGAGCCTGGCAACGAGGACGTCAAGGTAAGAAATCCCATAGCTCTGGAAAGGCAAAAGGGTTGCAAGAGGTTCATTTGTGGGATTTTTTCCCAGCCAGAGCTTGGTTTCACTCAATCACCGCCGTTCATAAAAATAGGAATGGCCAAGATGGTGTCAGYGCAGTGAGTCACGGGCTATGAATAGTGTGTTTTTACACCTATTCCACAGGCTTCACCTCGCAGCAACCTTTTGCATTCCCTGGTCTTTCAAAGTCCTCATTCCCAGTTGCTTTCTTCCCGTGGTTTAAATATTAACACACATCCAAGCATCCTGTTTGCTTTGCCTCAAGCTTGCAACTGTTCAGCTATTTGGAAAGCTTTGGGCTCCCGGGACAGCTACAGTCAAATAACCTCAGGTGATTTTGTCTTTCCTAGCGTGTTTAGCAGCTGTTTAATTAAACTCCAAATGAGTTGGTTCTGGGAAGACAGAGCTGGGGCAGCTGTCTGCTCCCTGCCCTCCCTTGGCCAAGTGCTGCTCAGTCATCAGGCTCCTTTTTGGGAATTGGTAGGTGGGTTTGTGGTGGCATAGTCGGTAAATGAGTTCAAAAGGAAGAACTAACCCTGAAAGTCTGTGTTACTTTTAAAGGGGATAGCAGTTTGGAAAAGCATTGCAGTTTGGAAAGTGGCCAGCTGCTGTCCTGGTCTTTGCCTTGATAGTCCCCCTTAATAGCCATAGCTGAGTCTCCATCTCCAACTCTGATAAGCTGTACTGGAAAAGGAGTTTCAGAGGAGAAGGCAGATTCTTTTAATTAAAAATTAAAGCTGACTTTTATTTTTAACATGCCTATTGCGTAATGCGCYGAGCTAGAACAAATCCTCGCCTGTTTATTTTCAATGAGGGGAGAAAAAAACCCCTTTTATTCTACCAGGAACAGGCTTCAATGTTAATTTAATGTGAACTAATGGGCGTCCCAGCAGACATGTGACTTGTGGGTGGTGAATTCCTCGACACGGATGAGGAATGTTCAGGCACATCCACGCTAGCGCGGAGGTGGCTCAGCAGCTCCCTTTCCCACAGCCTTTAATCCCAATTTTGCATTTTATCCCTGGGTAGTAGGCAAAAGCTGTTAGCAGAAGTCTGATCTTCCCCCTGTAGGAGAAAAGAGGGTTGTGAAATGCTGTTGGGAGAGGGAGTTGCGTGTGGACAGGGYTTGCAATACTTTTCCCTGACAGGTCAAGCAGGGACACAGGGTTTGGGAGGAAGGTTAAATATTGGACAGCCCTTAGAGCAACCTGTTTAGAGGGACCTGGTGACCTGCAGAGGTGCCCAAGCTGCCAGCCAGGGATGTGAGGWTGCTGGCCTAAGCATCTCATCCCTGCAGGGAATGGGACATAGAAATGCTCTGCTTGAGATTTGTGCCCTGAGGGGATGTTGAGAGATGGAGGAGGGTAGATAATGTTGGCTGCTGCCTCGGAGGTAGGAAGGAGTTTCAAAAAGAATCATGCAGAGTACAGTCAAATTAGGAAGCAGGCTCACACCAGCACCCAAATAATAGACTTGTAGAATTTTTAAGGTTGGAAATTACATTTAAGATCCTCGAGCCCARTCCTTAACCCAACACTGCCAAGTCTCAAGTGCCACATSCACACACTTTTAATGCCTCYAAGGAGGGTGATTTCACCATTTCACTGGACAGCCTATTGCAATTCCTGGCCAYTCTTCTGGTGAATAAATTTTTCCTAATACCCAATCTAAACCTCCCCTGGCACAACTTGAGGCCATTTCATCTTGTCCTGTCACTTGTCACCTGTCACTTGTCAAATGCTGCTTCCCAGTGCAGTGCTTCCCAGCAGTGCTTGCTGCTCCCRATGTCTTTGGGTCTGCAGACCCAGACACTTACCCTTGGCTTACATCAGGATAGGAAAAACCAAAGGCACTTGGGTGACATTGTGCTCAGTGCCAGCTCATGCCTGTCCTTCCTTACCTTGGAGTGTGCTGGGATGGATCTGTCTGTCAGGCTTTAATGGGGTGCTCTCGGGAGCAAGGGTGAATTGGGGCAAAGAAATCATTAATTTGAAGTGGAGCTGATCAGTGGAGCTGGTCAGAGCTGTGTGCTGCACTGGAGACCCCTGAAGGGTCTCACAGCTCTCACCCTGCTGCCTTGGCTGGAGCCAAGGTTGGAGCTGTGCCTTGTTTTTAGCAAACAGTAAGTGTGGAGCAGGTTTTGGGCATCATCACCTCTTGCCCCCAAGGGCTGTGCTTTGGGCTTTAATAAACTGAATCTGAGAGAGAAAATCCAGCTAAAAGGCTCTGCTGTGGCTGCATGTGCCACCCTGGTGCAGTGGTGTCTCCTACCTGGTGTCCCAAGGGTGTGGGTTGTGTTACCCCTTCTCCCTGATGTGCCAAATGCCAGCGCTGGTGTCCACTCTGGGTCATGTCCTGTGCCTGTTCTGGGCCAGCAGCACCTTGCTCAGGTGGGCTGGGATGTTTTGAAGGCTGGGGTGCAGGGGGTTTGGGTATTCCCTGTGGCACACCATCCCCCCCAGGTTCATTTTGCCTCTCTCTCCTCCCCCCAAAGCTGGAAGGTGACAAGCTGGCACTGCCGGTGAGCCCCAGCCCGGTGAGCCCAGCGCCCACACCCAGCCCCAAGCCCCCCGARGCGGCCGTGCTCACCGTGGAGCCCTCCCCTTCGGAGAAGAAATGCTTCTTTGTGGACGAAGCTGAGCCTCTCCTGCGCTGCGACTCCACCTCCAGCGGCTCCTCCGCGCTCAGCCGGACTGGCTCTTTTATTACCAAAGGTACCAAAAACGGCCCAGGCCAGAGTGGGAGGACAGAAGGGACACCCTGGCATGTCCCATGTGCTCAGCACACCTGGCAGAGCTGCCCAACACACGATATCGTTAAAATAAATAACTGGGAAAGCTGGCTCTCCAGGATACGCTTATCTCATCCTCATTCCAGACCATAATATCCTGTTAGCAAAGATGATAAAGATTTGAGATGGAAAAACATCTTTAAAGGCTTTTAACTCTTTGAAGTTCTACCAGGGAAGTTGTACCATCCCTGAGCATTTGGGGGGTGTTTCTCCTGACTTGTGGCTCCTTTCTTGGCCTCTGCATTTCTGCATGAGACAAAACCAGAGAATGTCATTTCCAGACTGATTTTTGTTAAAGAGTTTTTTGAAAATTTTTTTCACTTTTGGTCCTGTTTGCTGCAGATGTAAAGTATCATTAGTCACCCCCACTTTTTATTCCAGGGGCTTTAATTTGCTGTATTTAACTTGCTGTATTTAATTATCTTTTAACTTCTGATGAAGTTAAACTTTTAATGGTGAAGTTTAACTTCTGACGAAGGTGAAACACTAAGCTCAGTCAATCTACCAAATTTATACTTGGGTACAAAAATAAAGCTGACCCAACGAAAACAACTTGAAAGAGCAGAATTCAGCTTTTTTGGCTCCCCTCCTGCTCTCACTTTTCCGAACTGGCCATTCAGCATTTACAGATGCTGTGTTTGCTCTTGCGGGATCCTGGCTGAGGTGCCTCAGCCTTCTCCAGCTTCTCCCCTCCCCATCACTTGTGACCTTTTCCCTCGATTCTCCTCGTGSCGTGTCCCTCTCCAGAGGTGGCACCAGGGGATGGACTGAGCAGAACAAGCCATGTTAGAGGTTTCTTGAGGAGTTTCTTGACCAATCCCTTTTCCCCCTRCAGAAAAGAAGGACACCGTCCTGCGCCAGGTGCGCCTGGACCCGTGCGACCTGCAGCCCATCTTTGACGACATGCTGCACATCCTCAACCCCGAGGAGCTCCACGTCATCGAGGAGATCCCGCAGGCCGAAGACAAGCTGGACAGGCTATTTGAGATCGCCGGAGTCAAGAGCCAGGAAGCCAGCCAGACCCTCCTGGACTCTGTCTATAGCCACCTTCCCGATTTATTGTAGGAACTGGGTCACCACACGCTCTCTGAATATCTGCTAGAGCTAGCTTGGCACTCGTTAAGATGACCAACAATACGCAGGCAGGTTTTGTTGTAGAATATACGGCCAGTATTTTCGTTGAGGTGTCCTTGGTTTTTGGAGGGGGTGCAGTTTGCCAGCGTTGCACCCCTCCACCGTAACTCTATCGCTCAGTCCAAGTCTTTGCACCCTCTGCCCCCTCCCCRAGCCTCTCTTCTCCTTGTTCTCATTCCAATCAGATCAGCCGATGCACTTTAAAAAAAAAAAGAAAACAAACAAAAAAACAAAAACAAAACTGCAGTTAATGAACTAAAAAACCACGAATCTGGTGTAATCTAACACATCAAACCAGGGATTACTCTGTAACSCCCTTCCTCTGTCAAAGCTGTCACTCGGAGTGACCGTCTCCCACCACCTCCCTTCACCTCGGGGCAGTAAATGGCAAAAACACGCAAAAAACCCACCCCGATCATTGCTGGTTACTGTCTCTTAACGCAGCTAAGCTTCCCACCCGAGCTGACTCTTTTTTTTTTAAATGTACTCTCGTTTGGCTCATATCCATTGCTGAGATTTTACTAGCACGGTTATTTATTGTATGGTTTTCACCCGGACAACGCATCGCGCTCCTAAATACGCTACAGCAGAAGCGCTTAAGGAAAAAGGTCAAGCCCCACCAACCTTGGAGGCGATGGAAAGTTCCTTTGCCTCCAGAATGTAAGGAGTTATCCCACCTTGGCAAGCGTGGGAGTGGTGGGGCCCCCGAAAGGAGCCGGTGCTGGACGTGGGGAGGCGAAGGCCGCCGGTGGTCGCGCTCTCCTCGTGCTGTAAGACTTAAACCAAGCTATGCTTTTACACTYGTGTCTCTTGTTTTTTATACAGACGTGGCCGATAAGTTTCTCCRAAGACCTTATGTGGTCTCAATAGTCTCTTCAAATCACACTTCACTTTTTATTAAAAGAGGTCGGGGG